TAAACAATTGCAACCTGCCACGATGGGAACTGCAGGCACAGAAGTGATCTCAGTCACTGCTTCTCCCTTAACATCAGGAGATTGTAACTCTGGTCCTTCACACACAGCACTGGGCTCTAAAAACTCCTGACTTCATGGCACTATTTAGGGCTTTACAGCTGATTTTAATTGGCCTAGTTACTATTACTAATAGTAATAGGATAGTCTTACAGAAAATAAATTTCCTTCAGCGCACAGGGTTCATCCTATGTGATCCATAACTAAATTATCCGAGGCAACACCTGTCAGCTGAAAAGTTTGATATGTAGATTATCTGTCTGTTTGTGATAAGCAAATCAGGAAATGGATTTTATCCTCTGGAAAGTTCCTCAGTGCATGTTGCCCCTGCTTCCTTCAAGAGTGAAAGATGAACAGGAGTGAGAATTCTGCACTTGTGTGACCTTGAACCAGACAGAGCTTTACGGTGTGAACTCACAGACTGTGCAGGAATGAAAACTATTTATTCAGGTCCATATTTTAAAATGGTATTACAGGGACTTCATTACAATGAAATACCTTAAAAAACCTTTACCTTAGGGAATGGCATACCTAAATGTGTGTATAAAACAACGCTGCTTTGGGAGCTAAGTTTTTGATCATCTCTGTTTTAAAGGGAAGCGAGTTAACAAACACACATAAAACTGTCAAAAGTGGTCTTGGCTGAGTCACAGCTCTGCAGCAGGTCCATTCCCCTACTTCTGCAGCAGGAATGTCAACACATGGACCTCAGAATGCAAAGAAACCCACAAACCAAGCACCTCCTGATGAACAACCACTCCTGAGCAAAAAGCACGTGTGGAATTGCACTGCCTGATGAGCGGCCGAGGAGAGTCTCAGCTACACGTGGATGCTGAGTTTGCCAGGTTACTCTGCATAAACACCAGCAGTCCATAGGATGCTGTTTCACAAGGAAAAGATGCTTTTACATCAGTTTACATCAGCAGAAAGGCAGATTATTATTATCTTTTATGAGGCCCACTGCTCCAGCTGAGAAGGAAATACTCATGGCCAAGCAAGTTGCATGTCTGACCGTGGTGAAAAATGTCTTCTGCAGTAAATTTAGACTAAAACTCTCAGAGTAAACTCCTGCCATTGATGTTAGGCTTAAACATTTCAAGTATCTGTATTTTATGCAAGGCACAGACAGGGATCAACTTTAGAGAGAGTTTACCCTGCTGCTGAAGGACTACTGCTTTAATTCCATGTACAGGGACCCAAATGGTCTTGCATAAACATTAAACCATTGATTCCCCATCTTCCTCCCAAGAAGGAGTTTTCCTTTAATATCAACGTGCCTTATTGGCATCAAACAATGCACTTATACACAGGTTTTCCACCTTGTTCCATCCTAAAGCAAAATTTAGTGGCATTAAAAACACGCACTATCCATTTAAAGCATGAAAAGAAGTCTCTTGCTGAGTTTCCCAAAACGTGTCCTTGTGTTGAACACAAACACACAGACCTCTTCACTGGAATTTCTGTCTGCTCACATACCACAGATGTGACCAATCTGGGGTATTTTAATTTAGTCAAGTGGCAAAATCAACATAGTTGGCTGCATTTGCTCACGATGGGATAGAAATTTGAGGAAAATTTGTGGAAAGTAAGTTAAAAAACCTTGTACATCTCAACTGGCAAGTTCTGAGGTTACTTGTGATTAATTGAGGAGGTTTTCAAAAGCAGCTTAGCAGATTAATTAATTAAGCTCCTATGAAAGCACTTTTCTAATTGATCCTGCAACAAGTAAGATGAAATTTTAAAAAAGCCAGACTAGGGCACAACTCAGACAGTAGATTTTTCCTGTCAACAGACAGTGGGATATAATTTTCTGGTTTGCCTTAAGAAATTCTTTTCTTTTCTTATTTAACTCTCCCACTTGATGAATTTTAGAACCACCAGTTTCTGTAGCTGCTGTGACTTAAGTGAGTCAAGAGATCTGAAGGAGGCATTGTGTGCATCTATCTTTTCTCCATCTGTATCAAATGGTCTAATAAATGACATCACTCCTCACAGTACTTAACTAAAATTCTGGTTATGTGAGAGTTACAAAGCAACAAACCAGTCAGAATTACGTTTTCCTAACTTCTCTGTCTCATTTTTCTCTCCAAATACCTTGAAGGGTGACACGTCCTCTAAAATTACTGAGATTGATTAACTTCTGAGCTCGGTATAAAAAATATACTTACATCAGATTTACAAGTCATTTTTTTTCTGGGAGAAAGTTATTACACTTATTTTCAGCCCAGCAGTTTTGATATGTCTTGCTCCTCTTATTTCACTGTAGTGTGCTCTGTAGCAGCATCTCTGTGCTGCTGTTTTTTACTTGTACACACTATTTAGCGCAGCAGTTGGGCCCCTGGAACATGGATTCTACTAAAACCCTCTCTTTTGACTACATGATGAATTTCCATTGATTTTTCAGCAGCTTTATCCCACCACTTGCTCCGCTGATCTGAGTCCTATAAGGCTCTCTTAAAATTTCAGGTTCAGTTCTTGCTGACAATGTCAATTCTTTAATCTCCTTCAAAATACCATAGCAACAATTGCCCTAATCTTCCGAAGACCACTTGGTTTTCATCTCACTACTTCTTTTTTTTTTTTTTCTTTTTGGTAATGTAATCAGGCATAGGGCAATAAAAGATCCATGATCTTTCTTGCTTCATAAGTTTGGAATGGCTCACATGAGACATGCCTTGCTCCCTGAGTCAGAGATAACCTTTATGTTATAATCAAACCAAGTTTGCTGCTTTCAGCCTCAAAACACTGACCAGGATGCCCATCAGAGCAGTGGCAGAGACTCAATCAGATCCCACATCCCAACGCACCACAGCGTCCTTGGGGAACTCCTTCTTTCCCTTTTTTCTGGCCACCTTTACAAATCTGGAAGGGCAGATTTGACTTCTGATGTTTGAGCAGTTCCGCTGCAGGAACACCCCATGCTTAAATCAGTAAAATCTCCTTTACCTGCAGAGGATTACGAAACCCACTCGCTGATAAACACCGAGATGTCATTTCTGTACACAACAGTGGGCTGTTGCTTTATGATGTGTAGTGAAGATAAAGACTCTGGTCTGACTTCTCAGCACCAGCCTCTCTCTTTTCAGTGTGACTCTTGTTTCTGAGCAGGAGAACTGCCAGGTAATCAGCTCAGCTGGAGATTAATGCCTAAATGAAGAAAGCACCCTGGCTGGATATGCAGTGTTAGCTAACAGAGAACTCTGAAAATTCCCTTTATCTACTAATATCCTGCTAGCAAAGCCAATTTTACTTTGGTATCCCATCCAACTGGATTCTGTTAACACAGTATATTTTGGCTCCAGCTATGTGTTATCACAAGGTACAGAAATGAGATAAACACAAGAAAGCTCTGCAAAGAGAAAGGTTTAATGATTTCATTGTTTGAACCCTTTGCACAACCCAGAGTGCCTACTGGTAATCTGTAGGGAAGAAAGGATCTTGCCTTACATGATTTACACAAGGGTGAATTCATTCATTTAGACCTCCAGTTCTTAAAGGAACCCTTGTAGGCAGATGAATTTTAATGTAGAGTAGACACAAGTCTGCAAGAACCCTGTATGCAAGTGCAAAGGCATTGCACCATGACAGGGATATTAAAATCTTGATTCCCTCAGATATGGAATGCAGAGAAGAAGCTGATGAATTCTTCCATGAAATGAAAAGGAAGATGTGAAGTCTATTGTGATGTCTATTGTTTGGTATTCAAAGGCATCCACCTCAAAATATCTGACCACAAAATTCTTCTTTACACACATTCTCAAGTCCTTAGAGGACAGATGCTCAAATTCCCTGTTCTTGACAGGTAATGAGGACAATTATTTCCCTCTCATATCTGAAATGCAGTACAGGCTTTCTGCTGACTTAACAGAGTGTAGATCAGGAAATTGCTGGGCATGACCTCATTTGATACGAGCAGCAGTTTTACTCTTCAAAGTGGAAGAATATATTGAGGACTAGGACTTCCAGGAAATAATACTCATCTAATTATCTGCTGAACACTGTTCAAAGAAAAGATTGCCAGCATTATGCCACCAAGATTATGCACAGGAGAGGCTAAATTCACAAGAAGGATAGATATGTCCAACTCATCTTCCACACCTTGAGCTCAAACACTGACTAATGGTGGCATATGCAGTTCCTCTAATAATTGCCACTTGGTCCTGTTCCAGGTACCTGGCAGCTTTCTCCCTTCCCTGAGATTCAGCAGGACTTCCACAATAAATTCTCAATGCCTTCTTCACCTTTGAGCATGGAATAAGTTCTCAACATCTACCTGAATCCAACAGAAAATAAAATGCCTGCCTAGCAACAGCACACCTGAGATGGTGGAGAGTCCTGTGAAATGTCTTGTTTTGCTAAAACACTGAGCAGAGAAAGTAGATTTTAACCCAAGGCATTTATCCATATGAAAGTTTGAACTTCATCCTTCTTAAATGTATCATTGAGGCTCTTATTATTTCCTGTTTCTCCCTTGAAACCAAAAGTTCTTACACTATTAGGGAATCAGGCAGCAGAATCAGCATCAGCCTCAGCCTACTAAGGATCAAGGAGCTTGGGCTTTATCAGAAGGTCCTTGAGGCCCTCTGAAGTTGCTCTACAGCTTCCAAGTTTGAGCCATGCAATGAAAACAAGAAATGGGAAGAAAAATCTGCTTGGCTTTGTGTTACCAACTGGTAGCCTGGAGGAAACTGTGTACTCCAGAACTGCAGGGTTTAAATCTGAGAGAGGTGTTTAAAGTGGCACCATCCCCTTCCTCTGTGGGAAGTTTCTAACTGTGTGATGTGCACAGGCCGTTGAAGGAGGGGGTGATTTTAGTAGGCAGCTAAAAGATGGGGGGGGAAGGACAGAGAGCAGCACCCCTGGGCGAGTCTGTCTGAGGCCAGTACGCGTTTTCTGAGACCACACACAGGCTGGACAGATCAACAGGTCAAACAGGCTCTTACCATGGCCAGGGGAACAATTCCAACGAGGTCCTTCTGGCAGATGAAGATTTCGGACAGGGTGATGTCCGTGGTCCCCTTCCGAGGGTACTCCACCTGCCAGGTGATGGGCTGCGTTCCCGACAGGCTGCTGAAGCTGGCGATCTCAAAGTTCATCTGCACGACCTCGTGGAACAAACTGTTGCTCCTGAAAAAGAAGAAAACAGGGAAAGGGAAGAGCTGTTACTTCTGCTGGAGGAGGCAAACGAGGTGAGTTGTGTTAGTTGCTGGAAAACGCAGCTGTTTATGTTCAGATGTAACACAAAGCCTTTTTCAATCTGCAACCACTTCAGAGCATACAGGCTGGAATTCTGCTAAAAGGGTCAGCCGCTCTTACAGTGAGCACTGTGGAGACAGAAAATCCTGTTTTTTGCATCTGATGAAAGCAAAAGATATTTATTCCATTACATGTTTTATATGACTTTGCAAGTACGATTCAACCCTACTACAAGATGGATTCGATCCCAATCAACCAAAGTTAAGTCCAGTGCAGCTCATGAACACTGAAGAGCCCAGAATTTGTGCAGTCAGAAAGAAAACCAAAGTTTGTTTTATATGTCTACCACCAAAATCATATAAATCCTCAGCAACGAAGCTCAGGGTAACTGAACTTCAGATGTGCTGATGGAAGCCACTGAAAAAATTAACATGATTAAATGACAAAATGACAAGACTAGTCTACTCTTACAGGTGAATTCTGGAAATTAAAATCTCAGGCAGCCGAGACCAGACCGAAAGAACAAAGCTACATATAAAATATACCATGAACTCAGAAGGTGTAAGACAATTTGAATAACAAATATGAAAGGACATGCTGAAAATGTTTCCCTCACATTTAATTTCATTAACTACACCAGAAATGGTAAGAATATATGAAAGAAATTTGCTGGGCTATCTACTGCTTTAATTAAAAAAAAAAAAAAAAAAAGTACAAATTACTTTCATCAGAAATTACACATTAACTTTTCTGGAACTTTCCAAATGCCTTCCCACAGTGTAGAATGTCTTAATATTTCACAGAATACTGCTTCAATCTAACCCCACGCTGCAATAATTTTAAAATGAGGAGAATGACAGGCATCTTCCCGGCTTCAGTAACCCAATCCCAGCTCCATCACACCTTTGGCTGCATTCATCACATAACGGCTTCAATTTTTCCTCTCCTCTTTATGTACAATACAGGAAGGCCCATTTCTGAGAAAATCCATCAAGAACTGATCATGTACAAAGCACTTACATTCTCAAGTGCTGGGCTTTCTTTTTGCCTCTGAACAGAAATCACCATTTTTTTTGCTCCTTAAGACACATTCTCTGCTTTACTTCGCGTGATTACTTTGAAGGCAAATGTGCTCCCCTGATAATTATTATTTTGATTATGGGATTTCGTTTGGATGGCTTGCTCTGAAAAGTCTTAATACTGCCTAATGCTCTGAATTTATTTCCTTGCTGTTTTCTTGCTGTGTCAAGAGAGACACATTGTACCACTTCTGCAATAGGGGCGCACTTCCCCCATGCATTTAAAGAGTGATTTTGGGTAGCAGTGGTGATAGATGGATGGGCTTAGCAATTCATAACTCAGGACCAGCCTGTTGCCACCTGAAGAGTTCCTACTAAATAAATCTTTCAGCTTGTAAATACAGGGCAACGGCAATAACTGCAGTTTACACACTTCTGGGACATCTCAAAATGAACACAGACTGGATTGAACTTTGGAATTTATGTGAAAACATGATTATATGCAAAAATCACCTGAATCACCCGAACTGCAGTGCTCATTTAGCTGTTAAAGGCACCATTATGCCTTGGATTAACGACACCTGAAATGACATCATTTTCACCATTTCCAGTTCTGATGCTCAGCAAGTGACAGAGCAAAAATCTTCCCATGTGACTGACTATCTCGGTGCTTTCACTTGCACTAAATAGAGGACGAATTCTTGCCCACATCAAAGCTGCTCCAAGAGTTAAAGCTTGTCAGGAAAGTTTTCCAGATCAGGAAGTTTGCATGCATTTCTCCAAACAGCCCCTGAGCAGATGTCAAATGTGCAGCTTTCCAACCAAAGCCTCCCAACTCTGCCAGCAGGGTCAGAGAGTCCAGGTGGGAAAGGGCTCATTTCCAGCCGGCCCACTGACTCCTAAACCTCTTTTTCCCTTTCACTGCAGACACAGCTGTCTGCATTTTGCTCCCAGGATTGAAGAATAGGCGGTGTGACACACACAGGGTCATGTGGGACACCGGGACAGGGTGAGGGACTGATCTGTGTTTTTCCAAATCTCTCGTTAACCACTGCACCATCATTCTGGCTTCACTGGGAAACACAGCACTTGATTCTAACCTTACAAGGTCTTCAGGACCTTAACATCATTCTGTACATGAGGCATATTTTTGATAACTGAAAGGCTATTCTGTGAAAGAAATCACTGTTAGCACCTTTGACAACACTGCCTGAAAACACCCACTGAATTTGGATTTCCAGTTCTCACCGAGCACTTGGTATCCCTCATCGAGCTGCTTTGGCCAAGCATCTCCTTGACCCCGACTGTTCCAAGGTATGAAGTGATGGCGGTGGAGAGATATAAAAAAACCTCCCAAAATTCATCTACAGAATTCTGTAAAACTGCTAAAATATTTGTCCTGTAAAACACATGATATATAAAATAAAAAAATAGGCATGGTAGAAAAGAAAGGTTTCCTTGGCAGGATGACCTCCATAATTATTTCAACACTTCCACCTGTGAGTGATGCACCCACCTCCCTCCACAGCCAGACAGCCTTTCCACAATGTCACAACCAGCACCAGTTTCCTCCTTCTCTCTTCACACAGAAGAAACAGAGAGATGATCAACAGCTGGGAAAGCAACCACTTGAAAAAAAATATGCCTTCAGAGATGTGTAATGGCTGAGAAAAAAACTTCTCGTGAAGCACATTTAATGTTCAGAGCTTGTTCACTGACTGAAACAGCAGTTCCTTAATATCCAACATTTAGAACTGCTCAGCAGCCGGAACAGCAAGTAATTATAAAACTTTTCTAAAGTACACAGCACGTAGTGATTACAAATGAAGCTTCCTGAAGGCAGGGCTTCTAAGGAATTGCTCCAGGGTGGATATATGAGTCTAATTTGATTGGATTGAGGGTTCCCCTGGGCCAGTTCACTCCTTGGGTTTATTTTAATTTATAAATATGCTAATCTTTCATCAGATTGGACCATGTGCTGGTGCAGGGGAGTAAGGGCTGCCTTTGATCTGCTCAACAGCCGCTGGGGCTCTGGGGCTGAGCAAAGATTCACCAGTGAGGAGCACTGAACCCACAGCTACTCTGGCTGGAGCAGATGGGCAGCGATGAGGTGCTACTGATTGGTTACAGCAGCTGAGCCAGCAGGTCAGTGATGGGGTTGGTAATTCACTCCTGGCACAGGCCAGCAGTAAAGTCCTGCCCCAGGAGAACACACTGCAGAGCCGTGTCAGTGCTTCTGAGGAGCACAGTTTTGAAAAAGAAGGTGGAACAGAAATATTCTCTTAATGGAAAGACAATAAAAAATGCATAAAAGGCAAAACAGAAGTGACACTGGGAGAAACTGCCATGTACATACACTTGTGGTATCAGCTAATGTTAACCTGAGCAGGCCTTCTGATTTCAGTGTATTTTTGAGTATGATATTAAGCATTTGCACTCATTTACTGATCACTCAAACCTTCAGTGCCCTCAGAAATATTCAGCCCAGGACTGGCTGTATCAAAAGCTGTACTTAACTCCTGCTTTAGGGCAGGGGATTTAAAACATACACAACACATGTCAGCTCATGGGTAGACGAGGGTAACAGAAGCAAAATAGATTCTGTTTCTCTGCAGAGGTCTAGAAGGAGGTGGAACAATGTTAAACCTGTCACTGTCCAAAGGGTCACACAAAGCCAGGGCTCAGCTGAGCCCAGAACTGGAGAACCACAGGCCCAACACTGCAAAGTCTCTCACAGGGTGCAGGGGGGGGAGGATAATTACTGAGAAAATATCTCAGCTGATGCGAGATCCATAAACAAACAGAAATCTTTGCTGAGTGCCTGTCTGCATGTGCAGACCAGGAGTCTCTGATGAGAGATTTCACAGTGCTGGGTTATTGCTCTAAGTAATAGAGCAGTTTCGACTCTTAAATGAGTGAATCTTAGGACTGCTACGGGCTAAATCAATAATTTCGATTTATTACAGGGGCTCTCAAAAGAGAAATTTTAAAAAGCTTAGATTAAAAACATTTTTTAGCCATCCTTTATTCCAACAGATTTTTACTGCGAGCGCCTGGGGATCCGAGAATACTTCGACCTGCTGAAAATTTAGCAACTCCTTTCTTCTCTAATGCTATCCAGTCTGACAGTGACATCTTAATGCAGGATCAGCACTTACTAAATGACATAAAAAATTGAGAAGAGTCCAAACCCCATTATCCCTCAGTTCCACTGCACAGCTTGGTCTTCACTAGGATGAATGTTCTGGAGTACGTTATTACTGAGTGAAGAGACAAACTCCTCAAAAGCCGGTGGTCAAAGTGGGCCCCAGAGCAATCTGTGCTTCAGCTCTCTCAGAGATGCCTCTTCCCAGCTTGGAAAAGGAGCAGTGGGGTACAGGGCACATGTTCCTCTATGAAATTTTCAATTTCTTGCTCTTCTGCACCTTTTCCTCACCCCATTTGATAACTGGGACATCTTCAGTGGACACAAGTCAGGATCAGGATGAACCACGGCAGTTTAAGAAAAAATAACAACACATAGAACTGGAACTTGATCTGGGGAGTGTGAGTGATGACGATTTTAAAGATCACAGAATGGCTGTGGGTGGAAAGGACCTTAAAGATCATCGAGTTCCAAACCCCCGGCACGGGGCAGATCCACCTTCCACTAGACCTGGTTGCTCAAAGCACCGTCCAAGCTGGCCTTGATGAAATGATTTACACACCAGTTCACTCGCACAGTCAGCACTCAGCTCACAAAGGGTGGCTCATTAGCGACCCAGGTTGATTTGTATCAGCTACCTGTGAGCTGAACACTGTAATATCCACCACTGGGACCTTTATTTCCATTTCCCATTTCCCATCTGAAACACTTGATCAAACGGAGTACAAATGCTTAATAGAAGTTTCTTTCAGCAAGTCCTTAAT